GATGATAGACTGAGTTTATAAGCAACAGTCATCCATTATGTCTCTAGCGCTTCAACTGTTGCCGCAATTGGGAACCATCATTCTATGTCTTCATTCTGGCTTATCCACAGTCAGTGCTGGCTGAAGAGTTATGGAGTTAAGCTTCAGATGGCAGCTCTGCATTGTTTGGGGTCATTGCGACACATCCTTGCTTTTTCCTTCAAAGTTTCTGGAGAAACTGCTGCACAGCTACGACGGATGTGACTTGCTGGTCTTCTAAACCTTTCTGTGATTTCTTTTTCAATTTCTGCACCCAAGAATATCAAAACAGCTAGGTAAATGCAACAACAGTTGAATTATGGAAAACTAAGCCTTCTTGAATTGAAATGTGTGTTCTGTGGGGCTGGAATTCACAAGTTTAACAGATGTAAGTATTCCACAGTTCACTCAGATGTGTACATACCATAATTCTTTTACTGTTGCCACAGGAATTGACCCTAAAAGGATGCAGGGCTTGAGAGCCTTAACCTAGAGTTCCTTTAGGACTCCTTTTCTTCAGTTCTGTTTTTCTGAACCAACTGAAAAAAATCCTTGTGGTTATTTTATTACTCTCTGTCTTTGACCTTGGTGAGAAACCCTTAGGGTGAAATCCTGACCCTATTGAAGTCAATGGCAAAACTCCCATTGACTTTAGTGGGGCCATGATTTTGGCCTTTCTATCCAACATCAGTTTCCATCACTTACTTCAAAATGTACTTAACTATGCTGGAAGAGAATACCAAGAGTCAATAAAATCAATTTGAAGACACCCTTTCATAGCTATTATCTTTTATGTTGCTTTTCACCTTTAATAAATTATTCTTAATTAATGGGGTATTTTTTTCTTTTCTTTTTCCTTTCCTTTTTTCGGTTGTTGTTTTCTTCTGTTTGAGAAATCAATAAATCCCCAACTCAACTGAAAATTCCGTAGAATCCAGGAGGTCTGAGTGTGCCAAGGAAGCATGACTATACCATAAATTTGTGGAACAGGATGAGAGATTAAAGTCCTTTTGTTCTCCCCCTGCCTCCTTCTTGTACCCCCTACCTGTGAATATGAGAAGGTCTCTCCTTATGTGAACAGACTGTAGGAATATGACTGAAGAAAAGCCTCGACCTTCAGTGCTCCTTCCCCAAAGCAGCAAACAAAATTACAGGCAAAAGTCTGAGTCACTGCACTTCCTTTTCTCTAGACACAAGTGCTCCAGCTACTCAACCTAATTTTTCTGTCTAGCTTTCTCCCTGTACCCTTTTCTGTCATGCTACAAAGGAAAAAGCATCAACTGGAAAGGTAGCCTTAAAAACCACCTGATATAAATAATGATTTATCCCTGGCAGCTGGATTCTAGGGGTTTTCTGTCTTTTCATGTAGATTCTCCATTTGCATCTCTGTTCTAGCAAGTATTGCCTTGCAATACTTCAAATTCAGTTCTTGGTAATTGTCACAGGTGATCTGCCTTTGCAGTACCCAAGGGCATTTGTTAACTGAGAGTCTTGAGAAATGGGTAAACTGATCCTCAGTTCCAATCTTTCTGGCAAGCTCTGGTGGAGATACATCATGATGACTGCACAGCCACTGAAGACAGAAAGACTCACGCCAACAAAATAGTTTTCCTGCATCTGTCCTATTTCGACCTGCCTCCCAACTGCGCTGCCTTTCCAGCCTCTATATGTTCCACTCTGTCTCACTCCACAAATTTCTCATTTTTCCCAAGTCATCTTCATGTCTTCTAGATCCCCTAAATCCTGCTACTCCATTTTACTGTATAAATAGAGCAATTGTTAGATCATCTGTCTGTTTTTTTAAAAGGAGCCTTTGCGTAAGTACACCATGTGCTTACAGCCCAGCCAGGATCATTTGGTTTTGTTTTCTCTCTTCTTTTCCTCATCTTTTTTCTCAAAATCTTGTGGGGTCTTTAGGGGTGGGGCATTTTCCTGTAGTGATTTTATGCTCTCTTCAGATGCTGATTACCTTGCATGATGGGATGCTTATTGGTTATATTAGGAACTACAAACAGCATAATTAAGCCATGTTCCCACTCCTTATCTAACACAACAGTTTGGTGCCAATTCCTTGTGAGAAACTGCAGCTCTAGACATAGCCGCCTGACAAAAACCTGTTCTTCATTTTCTTTCTTCCTCATCCTACATTCTTGGTGCCGGGAAAGGTTATAGAGCATATCATCTTGAATGCCATCATGTGGCATGTACAGCACAACCAGGTGATCAGCATGTCAGCATGGCATTTATGAAAGGCAGGTCCTGCTTGACTAACCTGGTCTCCTTCTATGACAAGGTGACCCACTTAGTGGATGAGGGAAAGGCTGTG